TAAGAAGTATGTTTTAGAATTCTAAAAGGTCGTGAAAAGAAGAAGAAAAAATCAAAAAGAATCTTCAAAAACGAGTAGGATGAATTGTAGGCCAAGCGTTGTGTATACAGTGGCCAATTCGCTTTGCTGCAGAGATCTCTTAGATATTTCAATGCGCGTATTCACCAAAGATCACCTCCTCATCTCTAATATGTCAATTAAACTGCATTTGATCGCGAGCCGAGTTTATTACTCATATAGTTTTTGATCAACGCAATCTGTTGACGTTGTTACCTTGTACGTACTACTTTTAAGGTTCAATCATCGGATTTTCAAATTGTTACATATTGTCTTAAGTTGTTTTTGTCGTCTGCAAAACTCTGTTGAGCTAGGAGCTTTTGAGCCAAAAACTAGTGCAGAACATTCTATAAGATCAAAAAATGCGCATTATCTACATTAAAATGGTGTCCATATCAAAAATACGACGCAATTTTTCTTCTTAAGTAGAGTAATCACAGGAATTTGGCCATTTTACAAAGTTAACAGCTTATTTCTTGAAATGAATTTAATGTAGTAGTGCTTGTTCACATGTAGAGTACTTTGTAGTAATAGTACCGATTTTGTGAAGCTTATTGTTTAAGCAAAGGCATTTTAAGCTAACTTGAAAAGAACCATCAAAACCTTAAACGTAAACTTGCTAATTTCAGAGAAGAATATCCTATCGATATCGTACTTGGGCTAGAAAAGGTTTCCAACATCTACAAGGTTATCATCGAAGTCGACGAGCATTTTACACGTAGGACCCTTAAAATTTATGAACGTCTTCACCATTGTTTGATTAAATGTTTTATTTCCAGCCTCCAAAATAGAGGTCTGCGTCGGACTTGGTGACGATACCCTTGAAAGAAACTATAAGAATGCTCGCATGGCGGAATTTAATGAACCAATACAGATGGAGTTTGGCGCTAGTCAGAGGATTGCAAATAGAATGGAACTAAGGTCAGTTAGCTTGTGGTTCCATTTCTAAAGTTTGCTCAGCATTGACTTCTTTGGTTGAGATTGGGGGTGTTGAGTAATTACAAGTTATTTTAATTTAAGCTTTTCAATTTTTAAGAAGAGGTTTCTCTCAAATTTTGTGTAGTAAATGAAAGACAAAACTATTTGTGCAGTAAATGAAAGACAAAACTACATCTGCAAAGCTCACATTTACAAGTACTATCTGGTAAAAGATAATTCCCAATCGACTCATGGTACTGAATGACCTCTTGAAGCTATGAAAGGAAACATAGCTAATAGTATTGAATAAATGAGCTAGAATTTTGTGCTTGCTAAACAATATTCTACAAAGAAAAATACTTTTTAAAAAGGGTAGACTTTTTTCTTCATCGAAAAATCTTAATAATCCTTCGCAAAAACTAAAAATTGGTATTTTGATCTCCAGTTTAGGAATTCGATGGGCACCTTAAATCAAAGAATATATTCTTGCAAATAGCAATTTCAGAAACGCTTTCAACGGCTCTCCGGGACAGTATATGTGGATTATGGTGTATGAGCCCGATGATATCTCTTCGAATAGATATAAAAAGGTAAAAATGTTGCTCAGCAATAATACCTACATCGCTGTCAACTCCAATAGTGCTGCATACCTTCCCGTATTATGTAATGGTCAAAAACTTCTACGCCGATGCCCTGCTAATTTCAAATTTTTTATGGTTGAATTAAAAGAAGGAAACAACAGTTTTTTGTGACTCTAAACGCCATGGTTAAATGGTTAAGTAAGACTATTTCAGCAGTGTGATGCAGGTAGATTTCTCTGTTAATCTTACGTGCACCCATAGTGGTTGTACAGGTAGTAGGCAACCACCTTTAATAGCATTGCATTGGCTTAGAGTGAAGTAAGCTGATTGTACCAACTTATCTCAGGAGAAATATTTATTTTAGTGCATAATAAAGGAAGATTGCAAAAGTTGAAAGAGTAAAAGCATCTACGATCGATTTTCACGTAACCAAGCGCTAATGTTCAAATTTTAGGTGGGGATTAAGAAGGTGACCATACTTGGCTACCCACTTTCAAAAGATGAGGTTGTGGCGCTAAACTCAAAGTTCAGAAACAAGGAAGATGGAAGAGCAAAATGTACTGTTTGTCTTTAAACTTGATCAAATTCGGATTATCCACGATTTGCAGAAGCATTTATTGCTTTTGTAAAATTCTTCCAGCAAGTGGTTCATCTCGAGCCTCC